CTGAAGAAATGTCCCTGTTCTCAAATGGCGAAGCGGGATGCAGTCCCTGCGCCTCCGGTTTCAGGCACACTCTTCTGCGCACCCGGTCTGCCCCGGACGTGGGTGCCTGCTCCCTCTGTGGGCTCAGACTGCTGGTCGGAAGGGGCCTGGCGTGGAATAACTTCCCGGCTGGCCACTGGGTCCTCCAGAAACCTTCTGTCCTTTTCAAGCAGACTTAAGAGATGTCCTGTTTTATAGGGTGTTAGTGACTTTTTTTTTCCTGGTCGCTAGGTGGCGCCAGAGATCTCTCCTATTGTCCTTGGGGGGCTGTTTTTCGCCTCCCCCCACCCCGTGGGACAGAGAACAGAGCGGGAATGGTAGGGTACACCTCAACAGCTTTGGGGTGCTGTGTCTGCCTTGTGCCCCACCGTCGTGGAGAACCCACGCCCCGAATTTTCGTGCCCCGGGTCTCAGTTCAAAGCCCTCAGGTCCAGGACGCGGGCTGTAGCCCAGTTCAGTGGCGCGGGAATGGCGCCTTTTGCACCCGGCTCCCGTGCCTGGGCGCCTGGTTCCTGCTTACTCAGGGAGGGACCTTCACCTCAGTGAGGACCTCCGTGCGTCTCCCCGCAAGCCTAGGTCGTCTCCCCGCAAGCCTAGGTCGCAGGCGCGGGGACCTGGGCAGCCGCGATCCCGGTCTGCACTTGCTTTTCAAGCGCGCCAGGCGCGCCGCGTTTCCCGCGCAGGCTTACCGGCAGCCCGGGCTGTGTGCGCGTCTCCCGGGGTCTTTGTTCTTCTCTAATGGCGCCCAGAGCCGTTCGCTCACCGCCGCGGCGGATCCTGCAGGGTTCGCCTCAGCTCCCGTTCACGGGGTGTGGTGGCTGCAATAGTTCCTTTCCGCTCACAGTCCCGCTTGCTGCGTCGTTTGTTCTTGTTGGTTGTTTTGGTTTGTTGTTTCCTCCTCTCTGTGGGTCGGAGAGTGCCGCCTCTGTGGGCGGGGGAGGGGAGCAGGGTTCTGCGCTTCCCTCCCTTCTAGTCCTCTTTTATGGCCACTTTCTTCTTCGGGCAGTTCGCTGGCGTCACCCGTTTATCTTCCGTGTCCCAGTTCTCACTGGGACCTGCCGCTTTTCCTCCCTATTCACTTTTTTTAATGGGAGATCTTACTCGCAGCGTCTCCTCGCCGCCATGTTGCTCCGCCCCCACGGCAACTGAATTCTTTGAGCAGTCATAGAACCTAGAAGGCTACAAAGGAACATTTTTCTAACCCTACATACCATGCTTACAAGGCCCTTGCAAAGGCCCACGTGATCCACTCCTAATTACCTCTCCAATCTTGTCATGAAACATCATGCCTGCTGGCAAACACTGCACTATGCTAAATGCATTAACTGTATGACAGTCTTCTTTCTAATCTTTGTGCATGCTGTTTTTACTTCTAGTTGAGGACTTTCGCAGGATGGCACTAGCTCCTTATTAAGTGTTTCTCTTAGAGAGGCCTTCCATGATCATCCTCTGAAAGAAGCCTCACTGCCCAGTCATCCTTTGTCCCATGAATCTACTTTATTTACTTCATATCACTTATTGTCTGAAATTATTTCTTTCCTTTTTTATTGTTTGTATCCCACAATAAAATGTTCTTCATCAATGTCCTATAGCAAACACCAAAAAATTTATTGGGATGCACTCAATAAATAATTGTTTAAAGGATACAAATGGAAAATAAGAGTAAATCTTCAACAATATAAAAATCTGGCTGGGATTTATGGAAGAGAAAATTGCAGTTCTTGGGGAAAATGTATTATCTTAGATGTAACAGATGAGAAACTATACATCCACATGGACCTCTACATCACCACATTAAAAAAAAGATAACTCAAATAATCACAAGCCTAAATTTGAGAGTTAAAAATATTAAAAGCTTAGAAAACAGATAAGGTAAATCCTTGGAAGCTAGGATTAGGCAATGGTTTCTAATGTACGAATAAATGATATAAGGAAAAAATGGGCAAATTGAATTTCATAAAAATTACAGCCTTTTTTATTTAAAAGAAATAGAAAGTGAAGATAACCTAGAAAATGGGATAAAACATTTGTAAATCTATCTAGTAGAAGACTTGTCTATGAAGAACTCTTCAAAGAGAACAATAAAAACCAAAAATATATATATATATATATATATATATATATATATATATTTAAGGAATGGGGAAAAAAACTGAACAAGTATTTATCCAAAGATATACAAATAACATGTTAAAAATGCTCATCACTGTTAGAGAAATGCAAATCTAAATCACAATGAGAAATTACCACACACTACAGTAATTAAAATAAAAAAGGCAGAAAATAACATGTGTTGGCAAGGATGAGGAGAGAAAATGGAACCCTTTTAATTGCTGGTGAATTAATTGATAGTGTAACCCCTCTGGAAAAGTTAGACAAAATGTTAACATGGAGTTACCATTAAGACTCCAGTCCCAGATAAATAACCCACATTTCCAGTCCTAGCTATATACCCTAGAGAAATGAGAAGACAGGCCTACCAAAAAATTATACCTGTATTCATAGAGGCATTATTCCTAATAGCCAACAAGTAGAAGTAACCCAAATGTCATAAAATGATGAAATGGTAAACAAATACACTATATTCATGCTACAGAATCTTATTTGTCAACAAAAAGTAGTACCGATACCTGCTACACATGGAGAAATCATAAAGACACTATTCCAAGTGAAAGCAGCCAGTTACAAATAACCACATATTATATGAATATACTGACATAAAATGTTCAGAATAGGCAAATCTATAGAGACAAATAATACTAGAGGTTACCAGAATGTGTGTGCGTGTCTGTGTGTCTGTGTGTGTGTGTGTGTCTGTGTGTGTTGCATAATACATGCAGGAATGGGGAATGATGGCTAAGAAATGTGGGATTTCTTTCTGGGGCAACGAAAATGTTCTAAAATCAGACAGCAGTGATGTTGCACAACTCGAAGATGGTAAGCCTAGTGAATTATACACTTTAACAGGGTGAACAGGAGGGCATGTGGACAGCACAGAGGTATATGGTATATTCATTACATGGTATATTTGTCAAAAACAAGAGAGAAATAGCTCTGAATTGCTAGTCAGAGAATGAAGTGTTTTTTAACTCTAGTTTTATATAATATGCGTACTTAGGAAGATTTAGTAATCTTGGTGCTACAATCATCACACCAATCATTGCTGCTATCAGGAACAAGTTTCCTGAACATCTGTAGCCCAAGTCAGAATATAGCTTGTTCTCTTTTCTCCTCTGTCTTCCTTCCCCTTGTCTATATTCTATATCCTGTTGACTTGTGATAATTAGGTAAAAAAAAAAAAATGATGGTCCTGACTGATACTGGACAGCACAATGATGGGGCAGGCTAGTGTTTTCTGACAGCTTTCCTCCATAAGATGCCCAGCGGAAAAGAGACAATAGCTGACTTCTGTATTCTAGGGGGTAGCAGGTGACTACTGAATAAAAAAAAAATAATCTTCACTGCACTGACATATATGAAACAGTCTTTAACCATTCTCACACCATCTAATTCTTTCCCTATGAATGGCTCACCCTTTCACTTTGTGATACATAATTACATTTTATAAATGATGGCTATTAACTATCCAATTGACTTGGTGGGGGGCAGAAGAAAAAAGGGAAGGATGAACATTCCATGTCTTTTAAGTTAAAATTTACTTTAACAACTGAGTTTAAAGTTATACATAAAGCAACCTTGCATGTAAAATGAAGAGCTGCTGAGCTGAAAGCATCTCAGACACAATTTAGTTGAAATCGTTTAACAAACAAGAGCCTTTCTATATACCATCATTTTTATTTTTTTTTAAGATTTATTTATTTATGCATACAAGAGCTGGGGTACATACAGGCCAGAGATCCAGGGGGATGAGAGGATTCACCAGAGACAGAGTGGGGAAGAGAACAGGCAGATTGACCAAAGTACACTGCTGAGGGGAATAGCAGGCGAGTCAGTAGAGGTCTGCTTCGCCATGTGGGTTGCTCCCTGGCTGGGGGTTGAACTTATGCTGCAGAAGCTGCAGATTGCTTCACAGTGTGGTGCTTAACCCCTTGTGCCACCAGGGAGGCCCTACACCATCATTTTTAGACTAACTTTGGGGTATTGTGATAATCACTTATTCTCAACAAGTCTCAGCTTCCTCCTTCCTAACATTGGAATTAAAATAACTAATCTCGGGCCTCCCTGGTGGTGCAGGTGGTTGAGCACAGCACTGTGAAGCTGTCCGCAGCCTCTGCTGAGCTGGTTCATCCCTGCCAGCAGGCGAGGGTTGCACATGGCGTGGCAGACCTCTCCTGTCTCACCCACTGCTCCCCTCAGCAGTGTATTTCAGTCTGCTTGTTCTGTTCCCCACTCTGTCTCTGGTGAATCCTCTCACCCTCCCTCACATCCGGCCTGTACCCTGGCTCTTATTTAAATAAATAAATAAATCTTAAAAAAAAAAAAAAAAAGAAAATAACTAATCTCTCAGGATTGCTATATAGTTTAATGGGAAAAGACATGAAAAAATTGTGTAAATGATCAAAAGCATCACCAACATAATGTACCACTGCTATTTATGTGCTTCCATGCATTTCAAGGTTTACATAACTTACTCAACACACACACACATACACTCTGGAACTGTATTGGTACTTCTATGTATTAAATATCACATAATATTTTCTCAGAAAATGAAATGACTTTACTGATCCTTTACTAAAAGCAGATCCCAGCCACTGAATATTCTTAAATCTTACAAAAACACAAAACTACTTGCAAAATTCTCTGGTTCCAGTATTATATAATTCCTTGATAAATTCAAGCTCAAATAAGGAAAATATATAACAGAGTTACTTTTGTAAGAATTCTATAAAAAACTATTCTTTTATCAATATATACAATTTTTTTACAATTTTCATTGTGTACATCACAATGAAAACTATTATTTTAATGTTATCTTCCTGGTAATAAAAACTACTTACCTTTGCTGCAGAGGCTCTTATCACCTCCTAAAAAATACAATAAGAAATAGTCATAATTTCATTTTAATGAAAAATAACTGTTTTCAACATATTAAGATGCTAATCTTTTAATACCAAACATCACACTACTAGAGACCAAGCCTTCCCTTCGAGGCAATATCTAGTTTCTGTGGCACTTGTTTTCATAGTAGTTAGAACATTTAAACATGCTTATAAAATATTTAAAATATGCTTATGAAATAAACATGTTTATTTCTTTTATCCGTTTGTTAAATTCTTACTATTTTTCCTTTTTGGTTATTTTTTCCTTTAATATATCTTACATAAATATTTTCCCAGGTTGGTGTTCGATGCATGTGTGCGCTGTATATAAGCACACACATATACAAATAGTTTTAAACAGAGAAGGCTGCCTTTACAGAGATATCACGTGAGGAAAACATGACGGATTATCCTAAAGTCAGTTTGTTTATTGTGATTAGTACCAAAAAGGCACTATAAAAGTATAAGAAAGTCTAGTTTTAAGGCAATGTAAAGCAGGATCAGATGGTTTTAAAATTTCCAACTTCTCAACTGCATAAAAAAATTCAACATACTGTGACAGAATCAAGTTTCTGTTTCACTTGCTGCATCTTCAATGATGAGGTTTCAGTGTGGACACAGTCATCAATCTGAAAAGAGCCTTGATGTGGCAGTTTAGGGCCAGTACATAAAGCATCTTGACTTTGGTGTATTCCAGGTAATGGAAACGTTCCATTGTAGCTTTTCAACATTTCAGCCTCCTGTTGGGCAACTGGGAAAATGAATCCATGATTATAGGAAAGGCATGTAATTATGAAATAATCAGTCCATGAAATTATAGCATTAAATGATCAGAAACTGCATGATACATTTTAAATACTGAATAATAAGACAACATTACTCTTGACATGTGAAATTATTAAATACTGTAAAATCTTGAAGAAGGAATATATATTAATTGGTATGAGAGCTTAAATTTAAATATACATCTATGTAAAACATAACACAAAGAATCAAAGGCATAAAGGAAATTAAAAACAATAAAAATTATTCATAAACCCATCTTTATAATATTTTCATATGCTTTTCCTAATTTATATATATATATTATGCAATATATTATAGTATAAATATAAGTTAACATATTTTCAATTTAAATGAAAACATTTTTTGTATTTCTACAATTATATAATTAGCATTTTTAAATGCTTACAATATCTCACCTAATTTAGTATGATAATTTATGCATGACTTCTATTACCAAATATTTACCATATTTCTTCTTTTCCCTCACTACAGATCATTGTAAATGCTTCCATAGTTTAATTAGTTTCTCAATATAATTCTTTCTTTGGGCTTAATTCCCCAGAGTGGGGTGGATGACTCAAGGGTTGATTGTTTTTGATGACAATGATGATGATACAAGGAACAGCATCTGTACTGTCCTTACTGGTTTCTAGGATGCTTTCACAAACATTATTCCATTATTACTTAAAATGATTATAATGGAGGGGAGAAATTAAATACTATCCAAAAACTGACAAAGATGTAAGAAAATAAAACTTTCAAATCTGAAAACTCGTCAATGAAGATGCAGTAAAACATTTTAAAGTAAATGACCTGAATAAACCAATCACAAGCAAGAAAACTGAAACAGTAATAGAAAGTCACCCAAAAAACAAAAGTCCAGAACCAGATGACTTCACAAGTGAGTTCTACCAAATCTTCAATGAAGATTTGGTATCCTGCTCAAACTCTTCCAAAAAAATGAAAGTGAAAGAAAACTTCCCAATCTACCTTATGAGGCCAACATTAACACCAAACAAAAACAACACAAAAACAAGAAAATGACAGACCAATTTTCCCAATAAACAAAGACATAAAAATCCTCAATAAAATCCTAACAAACTGAGAATCCAACAAAGCATTAAAAGGATCATACGCGGGCCTCCCCCATGGCGCAGCGGTTGAGCGCTGGGTTGCGAAGCTGCATGCAGCCTCTGCGGTGCCGGTTCGATCCCCGGCTGCTCCCCGGCCACCGGAGGAGGGTCCCACATGGCGTGCAGACCTCTCCTGCCGCCCGCCCACTGCTCCACTCAGCAGTGTACTTCGGTCCTTCTGCCTGCTCTGCTCCTCGCTCTGGCTCTGGTGAATTCTCTCACCCTCCCGCGCTTCTGACTGTACCCAGTGCATGTATAAACAAAACAAACAAACAAACAAATAAACAAATAAATAAATAAAACATGCCTCTTAGTAAAAAAAAAAAAAAAAAGGATCATACACCATGACCAAATGGGATTTATACCAGGGACACAAAGGTGGTTCAACATACAAAATTCAATCAACATGATTCATCACATCAATAAAAATAAAGATAAAACCATATGATCATGTCAATAAATGCTGAGAAATCATTTGATAAGTTCCAACATCCATTTATGATGAAAACCCTGGAAAAACTTGGGATAAATGGAGCTTATCTTAACATAATAAAAGTTATTTACAGCAAACCCATAGCTAATATCAGTATCTAAGATGGAAAACTAACAGTTTTTCCACTAAGAGTTGGTACAAGACAGGGACATCCACTCTTTTTTTTTTTTTTAAAGATTTTATTTATTTATTTATTTATTTATTTATTTATTTATTCATTTATTTATTTATATAAGCACTGGGTATAGTCAGAAGCATGGGAGGGTGAGAAAATTCACTAGAGCCAGAGCGAGCAGGCACATCAGGAGAGGTCTGCATGCCATGTGGGACCCTCCTTCCGTGGCCAGGGAGCAGGCGGGGATCGAACCGGCGCTGCAGAGGCTGTGGGCAGCTTCGCAACCCAGCGCTCGACCGCTCCGCCACTGGGGAGGCCCAGGGACATCCACTCTTAACATTACTATTCAACATAGAATTGGAAGCTCTAGAGCAATTAGATAAAAGAAAGACATAAAAGGAAGGCAAATTTGTAAAGAATAAGTAAAGCTATTGTTATTTACAGATGACCTGGTAACATACATAGAGAACCCTAAAAACTCCATGGAAAAACTAATCAAAACAATTACTCAGTTTAGCAAAGTGTCAGGATATAAAACAATGAATAAGGGTAGCCAGCATATATTGAAATTCTGTTTAAAATAATGGAAAAACATGTAATAGAATTATACAATAGCATTTAAATAAATTATTCCTTTTATGAATAGAAGTTGTTACTCAAATATACATAAGTAAATATTTTTAAATATCATTAATTGGGAGGGAAAATATTAAAAATATAAAAATATAAGAATGGATGATGACATTATTTTTTTAGTTAACCATCTTTGTTTCTCCAACTATGAATTTGAGATGGCACACATTAGAAAAATGTTAGCTTGGTCTTTGTATCAATATATTACTTCATTCAAACATCCCAAACAAAGAATAGCTCAGTAACAATTGGTGCTCTCTCCTGTAGACCTAGTGTTAGAAGTACCAGAGAGCACTTTTGAGGGAGACCTGCTTACAACTCACCCCTCTATAAGCACGCACATTCCTTAACACCAATCGCCATTCCTAGATGGAAGTGCACCTGTTCCTACACTTAGATTTTCATGAGTTTGATTACTCTTTTTCATTGCACATTTTGAACTTTTTTTTTTTAATCACTGGGACATTTAACTGTCAAATACTCAAAAACTGTTTAAAAGACAAGAGAAAATTTAGAGCGGTGAAAGAAAACAAAAGTACTCCATGGATTGGAATTTGGATGGTTTAACAAAGGTAGACTGGAGATGAAGGAATCAACACATGAATATCATGGTTCATCATCTTTTCATCTTTGCTTTATTTACTTTTCACAAGTGTCCTTTTGGCACTTCATTATTTATTTATTTATTTTTTTGCTGTTATAGAGAATAGAGTATAACTATTTAATGGGATTTTCTAACTCCCTATGTTCCTGCATTTGCTATATATTTTTTTCAATTGGTATTTCACTTCTAGCTCTGAGTAAGCTAAGTTACACAGGATAGTAAAATTTTGGTATTTGCCTTATTCTATTTGCCAGACTTTATTTGCCAATTATTATACTATGCTAAACATGATTTATTCTTCTGTGTAAAGAAGGAATTTGACTAGTAAAAAATAACAAAAGGCACTAAGTATTTGTTTATTTTTCCAGGCATTAAGATGCCTTTCAGAAAGGACTTATGACCTAAATGAATGCAGATAAGAATAAACCCCAAACAACCATGAATACTTGTTTCTATTGTCTGAAGATAATTTTATGACTAGATTTCAAATAGTCAAATAAACACCCTACTTTATTTTTAGCACTTTTCTGTGAAAAGTCAATTTTTGCAGAAATATTCACAAAGACCATCTCAAATGCTAGAAACAGAAGCTGCTTATGGGTTCTTGCATTCTTTCCTGTTCCCCACCCTCCATAAAATAAAATATATATATATATATGTATCTACTTGTAAGAGATTACAAAGATTATTTCCTTGTTAAATAACTTATAACCAATAATACTGAAATTCCTCTAAGCTCTCTGCTTCTGACATTTTTAAGGTTTTAAATAACTTTTACATAGGCCATGGCTGGAGTATGATGTTGCAATTAAATAACAATTTCTTCACTTCTTTATTTTCTGTTCTTTGTGCTAATTAATTTTATACATTTAAAACTTAGCTCTAACCTAACCTGCTATGTTTAAAACTCCTAGTTTTCACATTCTCATTCCCATCCTTCTGTAGCCCTTTGAGGCATGCACTAGAACAGTATCTGGGAATACCAAGACAGTGGCCCCTTCTGGGGGCCTGTATCTTTTGCAGATCAACAAGAAATGACTTTAATTTTCTAAATGGTACAGCAGAGGAATGGACAAGGTGCTGAACACACAGAAGTGGCAACTACAACACATTCACTTAAAGGAATGCCAAGCCCTCTAAACACTTCTCAGCTTACCTCCAATAGGCTATAACTTGGAGTTCTAAATTTTACACAATTCAAACTCAATATGTTTTCATAACTGACAATCCTTTCATTTATATAGTAAATTCAGTGCTTTTGTGTATGTTCTGGTCTTAATTATAAAAAAAATAATGTGGCTTTCTCAGGAGATTTTTATCTCTATAGGAGGAAGAATAGAGGAAATAAGATATTTTAATCCATTGGAAGTAAATACAAGGTTTATTATTAAAATTTATGTGTGTTTATGTTATTACTTTAAAATAAAGTAAAACAAAATACACAACATATTTTTTTCTTACAGTTACTTTAATAGGAAGATTTCCTTCTGATTCAAAATTCAATTCCTTTGTTCAAGACCTGTTACTGCATATAGCCCTGTTACTATGCAGTCATTTTACTTGATAGTTAATCCCTTCCTTCAAAAAAAAAATTAGCTTCTAATTATGATTACTGTAAGCTGGTAGGTATACTTCTCTAGTTTCTTTGCATTCAGCTTCCTTCTCTTCCTTTAACATCTGCTATGTGTAGAGAATTTCTGTGGTCTGAAGTTTGTGTTCCTTAAAAATATATATGTTGAAATTCTAACCCCAAAGTGATGGTATTAGGAGACAGGGCCTTTGGGAAGTGAATAGGTCATGAGATTAGAACCCTCATGAATGGGATTAGGGCCCCTATAAAAGAAGCCCTATAGAACTCCCTTGCCACTTCCACCTCATGAGGTTACAGCTGGAAGGAACAATCTATGAACAAAAAAGTGGGTTCCTGAGGAACACTGAATCTGCTGGTGTCTTGACCTTGGGCTTTCCAGCTTTCAGAACTATGAGA